TCTCTCTCTCTCTCTCTCTCTCTCTCTCTCTCTCTCTCTCTCCCCCTTCTCTCTTTTGTTGTGGCAAAGAACTGGAAATTGAGGGGATGTTCATCAATTGGGGAATGGCTTAACAAGTTATGATATATGATTGTAATGGAATACTATTATGCTATAAGAAATGACAAGCAGGATATTTTCAGAAAAACCTGGGAAGACATTTGAACTGATACAAAGAGAAATGAGCAGAAACAATATTGTATGGAGTAATAGCGATATTGTAATGATGATCAACTGTGAAAGACTTAGCTACTCTGATCAATACAATGATTCAAGACAATTCCAAAGGACCCATTATAAAAAATGTTATACTTCTAAAGAGAGAGATCTGATGAATTCTGGGTGTATATTGAAACATACTTTTTTTTTTAAAAAAATCTTTGTTTCTTGTGCTTTTTCTCATTTTTTTTGCAACATGGTAATATGGAAATATGTTTTGCATAACTTCATGTGTATAATTGATATATTTTTTGCCTTTTCAATAGGTAGAGGAGGGTGAGAAGGAGGGAGAGAATTTGAAACTCATTTAAAAAAAGAATGTTAAAAATTTTAAAATAATTTCTTATTTATTTCATTCATACAAAATTTGAGAAATATCACACACTAACAAAGTATATGAAAAAAGTCAATCCACCAAATCCAGTCATTTTGTGTAAAATAAAATATAGCTTGAGGGCAAAATAACTTCTACACAAAATAATTCAAATCTATCATTCAATCTAAACAACAATGAATTTTAATGGAACCTGAGACAAAAACAACATTGATGAGCAAACACCACATCTGTCCTTCCAGTCAAAATGTAACTTTAAATATGGTTATTCAGAACTGAAAGTGCATGTTTCCATTTTAAACTTCATAAAAACTACAGTGATTATTGGAGATTAAAAATCAAAAAGAGGAAATCTAAAACTCTTTTTTCCTCTGTCACTGTCATGGACCAACTACCAAACTAACCAAACCAAACCAAACCCAAAACTCTCAGGGTCCTGATCAGATTTTCAACCATACTTTATATAGTGAGCAACAACAACAACAACAACACAATCATATCACACTTGAGATTCAATCCTATAATAAATCTTAATATTTTTCATTGGAAAATTGACATATTTTCCAGTGTTTGCATGGATTGTACTACTGTGACATATGGGTAATTAGCCAATACTAATAAATACAACATAGAAGTAAATCTCCCTAGTAATTCATGATAGCACTTGAACAACACATTTGTGGATCATGGGAATTGAAACTCTTAATTGACATACATATATATAAATATATATAAATAAATAAATATATATATATATATATATATATATATATATATATATAATCCAAAGGTAGGTGGATAATTCTTCAGTGAAACCTTTCATTTCAATGTGGGTGACAGGTTTGGCAAAAATTGTATCCAATCTTTTTGAAAGGTAATTTAAGAAATAATAATAAATTAATTTTAATTTATAAATATCTATAGGACTATTAATGGTCTTCAGATTTTCTTTACACATTTCTCCCCAAGTAAATAAATTATTTACCACTTAGCATTACTACATAGGTTCACCAGGCCTACACTTTCAACATTTCCCTACAATTCAAATCGGTATATGCTCAAGTAATAATCAGGATTTCTTTTAATTGTTAAATGTTTTTTTTTTAAATTTTTAATTTTTTTTTCAAATTTTATATATTGTTTATATACATAGTAAGTTTTGATCCTGGGTAACTAGAGTGGGAAGGTTCATTAGAGATGAGGTGTTTTTTTTTTTTTTTCCCAGTCATTTCAGTTGTCTTTGTGACCTCATTTGGGACTGAGTTACTAAGCTGGTGAAAGAACAGCACATTTTGTGAAGCATAGCATAGGTATGTCTACCTAGAGGAGAACACTTGCTCTGTCATGAAGCCAATTCTACTACAATATGGGAAGGAAGGGAAGTGAAGCAAAAATAGGACAGTACTCTAAGAGAGTTCTCTTGGCATCCTCTACAGTTTCTGCTCTGACATAAAGTACTGATCATCCCATCATAGTTACATCTCTGAGATTTATTTGACCTTCACAACCAGCCTGTTTGGAAAGTAGAATAAGGATCGAATCTCTATTTTACAGAGGAAGAAACAAATATTGTTATTAATAGTACACATCTCAGCAGACTTTGCAGAAACATACAGTTTTTGATAAGCATCAGAGGTTGTTAAATCTTTCCATTGATAGTGAAGAAATAATATAATAATATTAACACATATTATATATTATTTAATATTATATAAATATAATATGTAAATGTATTACAAAATAATATATTCACCTCCTACCCATCCAATTGCTCATTCTTTGTCTCTTTGCAAGCTCAGTATATGCCATATATATTGAGTGTATGTACATCTGTTGGATTATCCATACCCCGTGAGTCCCATTCATTATTAAATTTAATCAAATACTGGCTATAATTGAAAAGGTCCAAAATGTTAATTTTTGCTTTGTATTATCTATCCATCTGTCTATCTATGTATCTATGTATCTGTCTATCTATGGCATATATTGAGCCATATCTACACCAACACAATCGTATTTTGGATGTTTTATTCATTATTTAGCAATATATAGGCAGATCTACAATACATAAAATCCCACAATCTAAGCACATGACATCATGACAGATCCTTATGTGATTACCATCCATAGGTATAAATTGTATTTATCTGAGGAAAATTAATATAATGACCTACCCAGATGTTGTCTTCTTGCTTGTATTGCTTCCAGTTATGTCCTGTATCACTAAACATCAGCATATAGCTTGTTACCCAGTCAGAGCTTCCATATCTTCCCTGGGTAGCCACTGCAGTAATCTCCACTCTATTTCCTAGATCAATCTGGAGCCATTGTTGAGTATTAGAATTCACTGGGGACCAACCACCAGCTCCTGGTAAAGGACAAAGGTGAGAAAGAGTCATATCTCACATACTCATGGTAAAGAAGGAAAAGGAAAAACAAAAACAAAAACAAAACTTTGCCTCAGAATTCATTTCCTAGAATGGAATTTACCTTTTCACACTTTGGCAATGAATAAAGGCCACTTTCCTAAAATGATATTGAATATAGTGTATGTAGAGCTAAGAGATGTTAGAGGTCACCTAGACTAGTTGTGCCAAACTCAAATAGAAAGGGCTCATTTCTTGCTTCATATTGACTTAGAGAACCACAAATTAACCTTTGTATGTTGTATCGTATTTTTATTTGTTTTGTTAAACATTTCCCAATTACATTTTAATTAGGTTGGAGTGGGGAGTTTTGCAGCTGCCTCTGATTAGATTAGCTGCTTCATTTTACAGATAAAGAAATTAAAATTTAGAGGGATAAATAACTTATCTAACATTACAAAGTTAGTAATTGGCTGATCCAGCATATATCTAGCCTTCATGTCAAGACAGGCCCTTCACATGAGCTTCTCATCCTTCCTCTCCAACAGAGTGCCACTAGCATCATATCTACTCTCTTTATAATAATATTCAACCTCTCCCTTCTCCAATCCAGCATACACCCAACTGTCAAAGGGGTTTCTCTAAAGTCGAGGTCTGATCATATCACTCCCCTACTCAAATACTGCCATTGACCCCTTAATATCTTTAGGATGAAATATAAATATTTTTGTTTGGCATTTAAAGCTCTTCAACATCTAAATTCGTCCTTTCCTACTTTTTCAGTCTTTTAACAAATTATTCCTCACAACACTATCTAACATGTAGCCATATTTCCTACTTGTTGTTTCTCACAAATGACATTCCATCTCCTATCTCTATGCCTAGCACTGTTTCTACTGCACACCTGAAATGTTATTCCTTTTCTCCTAAGATTCTTAGAAGCTCTAGATTCCTTTAAGGCTCAGTTCAAGGTGGGGCAGAGCCAAGATGACAGAGAAAAGGCAGGGACTAGTCTGAGCTCTCTCAAATTCCCCTGCAACTTTAAATAATGCCTCAAAATGAATTAAAAGGAGGTAGAATGGGAGCAAATTATCTCACATACAGGAGGCATAAGTGAGCTTTTACAGTGAGGAGGGAAGATTGGGTTTGGGGGAGTGTTTGAAGCTTATTCTCAAAAAAAATTGTGTCAGAGAGGGAATAACATACACACTTAGTTGAGTATAGAAATGTCTCCTACCCTATAAGAAAGTAGGAGGGGAAGGGGATAAAAGAAGGGGAATGATAGAAGAGAGGGAAGTTTGGGGGTGAGGCAGTGGTCAGAAGCAAAACATTTTTGAGGATGGACAGGATGAAAGGGGAGAGAGAGAGAGAGAGAGAGAGAGAGAGAGAGAGAGAGAGAGAGAG